AGCGGCAATAGTCAAAATATTTAAAATAGAAGTTTCAAGCATGCTGCTTCCCTCTTCTCCAGTGCCCAGGATGCCGGCTGCCTCATCCCAGCGCTCCAAGCGCCTGTAGCCGGCGTAGAGGCTGCAGCTTGAGGTGAGTTGCAACGCAACTCGCTGGATACAGGCACTGCTACGCCACGTGCAGCAGCGTTCCGGCGATTCATACTTCCCCAGAGAGCACAGCCAGGACCGTCCTCGCTTGCTACTTGATTGGAAATATGTTGTAAAGCGTCATGTGTAGCTTTGAGTTGCCCGTAACTTGCATCTGTTGACGCTCCTGCAACTGCTTCAGTACCCTGAACGACAAATCATATCGACGAGAGGCAGACGCTGGAGTGTCACTGCTGGGCTAAAAGGCACTGCAAACTGTAACAATTTAAGAAGGAAGTAGAAAGACTTTGTAGAGCAGGTGGTAGAAGAGCTCCACTGGGTACTCCGTCAGCAGTGTGTGGGCAACGGGTGTGCTTTCGGCTGTGCTGACGACGGCTGTTGGCGCACGTCCTGATGTTCAATGGCTGTTCACCATTTAGAGCGAAATCTCTGGCTGAAAGACCTCATTTCTTCTGGCTATTAAGCATTTAATGCCGTGGTTTGGTTGCATGAGTCCAGATCAGGTTGTGACAGCGCCAACACATATTTTTGCCCACTGTTGACCAGGGTGGGGGAGAGCGAGTTCCGCGCATATGCAGCCCCAACCACAATTTACAGCCCTGAGAAGACAAAGCTTCCCGTTGATATATTGAATATACTTAGTTTTATAAGTAAACCGCGCTCGTCTTATCAGCGACTTCGCTCGTGGAACATGGTATCATTGCCTGGCGAGTTCAACCGACCTGTGTGGACCCCACAGGCTTCAACTGCTCCCGAAGATGACTCCCTAATCTGTTGAAAAATGATGGGATTTGCAGTTTCACTGGAGCGTTTCTGAGTTGGTATCTTCCTGATATCTTACGGGGAGACCACGCATCCCTTCTGTACACACGGACCGCGGAACGCGTGCTCCTCTCTCTCTTTCCAGAGCGAAGCAGAGTCTCAGGTAGAGATGGTTCACTTTGCAGCTTGTATCATTACGTGGTGTCTTTTTCTTCATATTTCAGCGCCGTCGTGTGCATCAACTGCCCCCATTAATCTGTCTTTGGCTCACCC